GTATATATATATAAAGTTATAAGCTGCTAAAATCTTGGCTTGTGGTGGAGTTTGCGCAGCTACAAACTTTAACAATTTTTTAATGTCACTAAAATTCGGCAATAATTAGGAGGGAACAGGAGATGTGAGCTGTTGAACCATAACGACAGCTATTTCATGGGCCCCACAACAGCTGCAACAGGCTACCAAACAGACAACTAGCTGTCATGGAAGATGCTCTTACCGGATGAACAATCCCATGCAATTCATCTTCCTTTGATGAATTAATCAACTGCTTCACTACCGTTGGATTCTCTTTAAGAATCGCAATCTCGCCAGACGCTCAAGTTATGGGGTATTTCAATAACCTAAAAGACTGCCGGCGGAGATTAATAACGCTCCATTGATCAATCATATACTGGACGGCCCTGTCTTTCGCTTAAATGGTGCAATGTCCTTATATATATATATATATAAGGAAAAATGCCAGCTAAAGCCCCACTCCGGGCAGCAATCAAAACTGCCCGCTGCCCATCTCCCTTCTTTAAAATCCCTCGCTCCTTCCCTTCCACATGCCTGTCGCATCATTTCCTCTTTTCACGCTCTCTCTCCTTCGCACCAGATCTAAAAAAACCCTATTCTTCGTGCAGAGATGGAGTCCTCTCTAAGAATGAGGCTCGTCGCCGCCGCCGCCGTGGCCTCCATCGCGGCCTCCTCTCTTGTGCCGTTCGCCCCGCCGACGCTCCTGCTCCTAGCCCTACCTCCGCTGCTGGCATCATCGGCCCCGCTTCCGCTCTCGCATCCCTCTCGGCTCTCGCCATTGGGTTTCTGTTCTGCTGATCTCCGATTCGTTAGTTCGAAGTCAAATATTGGTTTGATTATGTAATACTTCTGATGCATGTATGTGATTGGGGTTGTAATTGATGAATTCTTTCTGGATGTTACTGTGGGGTTCGATTTATTTTGGGGATTTAGGGTTAGGGTTATAAATGTCGGCTATTTTTCCTTCGTCTTGATTTATTTTCTTGATTGTAATTTTTTATTTTATTCATGTTTGGATCCGTCGATCTATTCATGTAATTATATGTTTTGTGATATAATCAGATATTTATTTTTATGAATTTATCTTGTTTGCATATTGTCTTATAAAATTGGCTTGAATTAATTTTAATCTAATTCAAATTAAATTTGAATCCAATTTAAATTAAGATTTATATTGAAAAAAAAATTATTAGGAAATTCAATGAACAATTTAATGTGTTAATTAAGAAGTTGTGAATAAGCTTTAATGCTTATGAATAAGTTTTGTTAAAAATTAATTTAATTTTTTGTGAATATATTCAATTAGAATTTGATTTAGAACTTATTTATATTGAATTAATTTTTTATTTTAATTCGTAATGCATAAAAAATATTTAAAAACTTGTTTAATTCAAATTATTTAGTAGTCTTTCATTTAAAAACTTGTTTTTTTCTAATAAGTATGATAAAGCTCATTTAATTAGAAAATGTCATGCTAATTAGTTTGCATAAAACTCACTTTGTTATAAAATAAATAACTCGACATAACTAATTTTAGTTTGCTCGTTAAAAATTGTTTAGTTAGAAATCAAACAACTTCATAGTACTATTTGTTAATCTACTTGATAATGACATGATTATCATCATATAATACAAAAAATTGGTTGAGCTCAAACAATCAGAATGTAAAACGAATCAAGCTTGATTTGAGCTCTAATCAAACTCGAGCTCAAATTTCATGAACAACCTCAAGTCCGAACTCTGACTCATACTTGGGGTGCGTTTGGGGCTGTTTATTTGGTATAGTGGCGTTTTGAAAATGCACCTGACCTGTTTGGATAAATCGCGTTTGACAGCTTAAGTGTTTTTAAAACATTGAAAACAGTGTTTTCGCTCTGCACATATCTAATTGTGGTAGCAGTTTTCTGGCTACGGTCTGTTTGGATAAATCGCCTTTTGACAGCTTAAGTGTTTTTAAAACTTTGAAAACAGTGTTTTCGCTCTGCACATATCTAATTGTGGTAGCAGTTTTCTGGCTACGGTCTGTTTGGATAAATCGCCTTTTGACAGCTTAAGTGTTTTTAAAACATTGAAAACAGTGTTTTCGCTCTGCACATATCTAATTGTAGTAGCAGTTTTCTGGCTACGGTCTGACTTTTTCAAAGAAATAAAAATTTGTAATAGTCATTGAACCTAAATTATCAGTATATTTTTTAATTAGGTTATCAACAGATTATTCAATAAGCTGCAGCTGCCCAGACATATCTTTGTTGTAGACTTACAATTTGCTAACACAAAAGCTTAAATTTTGATCATTGCTTATTTGATATGATTTTGATTGATCATAATTCAATTTTTAAGAAAGTATAAAATGTGTTTACATGTCACCCTTTCTAACGAAAAAATATTACCTCAGGAGTACTGATGCATCAGTACTCCAATGAGGGGGTGCCACGTAGGCAATGGTCCCATCGTGGTGCCTACGTGGCACCCCCTCATTGGAGTACTGATGCATCAGTACTCCTGAGGTAATATTTTTTCCTTTCTAACACACTATGATTAATTTTAAAATTGGAATATTTTAAGAAAATATTTAAACTATATTATTAGAACAAACTTAATTTCTACTTCTAGACAAATATACTCCACAAAAGTGTTAAAGGTTGGCGGTCACCCTCTCTTCACTCCTAAGAAAATCCCCAATAACAATTTGCTTGGTTTGAAAGGAATGGGGGGAGGATGAAAACGATTTTTATTTCATAGCTTCATTTTTTTTATTTATTTATTTTGTTTTTTTTTTCATAATTTAATTGTTTGGTTCCAATGTCATTACTAATTAACAGAAAATTAGTTTTAAAATTGCAAATAAAGGAATTACTATTTATGTAATTGCATTTTTTTAACTCCAATTTCATGAGCATCACATATGCAAAATCTTAAAATTTCATGCACATCACGTATGTAAAATCATGAATCTAAAATCTCTTCGTCGAAAGTTTAAGCTCTCAACTAACACAATAAAATTTCTTGCATATAAATTGGGACATGTTTGGCCCATCACATCTGTTGTGGGTAGGGTTGTCATAATGGCACGTTGTTCGTGAATAGCTCGTTCGCTAAGTTAACGAGTTAAACACGAACAAAAATTTGTTTTTTTGTGTTCGGCTTGAAATACTACTCATCAAATATAATATATATATATATATATAGAGTATATGTATATATTGATGAGTAGTATTTTTAAGAAAATTAATTGACTACAAGGCTACAAATTATTATAATCACTTAAAAGTGTTAATTAAAAAAATAGAATAAAAATTATTAAATTAGATTTAAATGATGTTTTAATATAAACAATAATTTTTAAATCTTGCACCAAGCTTTAATATCTTATGGCTACGTGATTAGGATTCTCAAAACGACTTTTTGTTCATGAACAACTCGTTTTCAGCTCTCTAAACAAAAGAGTCAAACACAAACACAATTTTTGAACTCAAAATATAATCGAGCCGAACACGAGCTGAGTCTGGGCCCGCTCATGTTTGACTGGTTTACACTCCTAGCTGTGATGCATTTTAAAAATGCAAGCGTAGGCGTTTGGTTTCGAAGTTGCGACATCTTTTCGCGATAATTCATAAAAAAAAAAAATTTAATAAACACAGCCACGAGTTCGACCACGTGTCCCGCATTCCCAGAATAATGTTTTTGGGGGCTGCCCTATATTTCTAAATGTGGCCAATAGAAGTCACTCCCACCATGATTTATGTAAGCTGGTTGCTTCCAAATTCACAGAAGGTGGCTGAAACTTAAGTGGCAGTTAATGCCTCCCATCACATTACTAAAATTCCTTAAGAGCAGTAATTGCAGCTATAAATTATTAAATGAAAGCAACAAGAAAGCAGAATTGAATTCATTAAATGCATTTAATTTCCACATTCCCATTGAAACCTAACATTTATTATTCACCATACACTTGAGTTTCATAATTTTGATCTCTCAAATTAAAATGGGATTCAAATTACTTATTTAGAGACCCAATCAGATGCATTAGTACCACTCATCATAACGCCCACCAAATAAACAGCGAGCTTTAGCTGCCAACGGTTCTGAAACTTCTTGCTGATGCTGAAGCAGCTGCTTAGCTTTCTGCAACTCAAGGAAAAAAATATATATATTGAAGTTATTTGAGGAAATATAGTTAACAGAAAAAGAAATAGAAATGAATATAATGAAAGCAATTAATGACCTCATTTTTGCAGATTTTGAACTCGATTTTCTGATTTTTGGGGATTGATTTCTGCAATATGAAGATGCTGAAAGTGGCAGCAGCCAAGCCAACAGACCTCAGCAAATTCCTCAATCTAAATGCATTACAGACACTCTTCTGTTTGGATTCAGGACCAGTGTACTCTACCATCTCCCCAACTTCTTCTTCGCCGTCCTCTTCCATGAATGATAAGCTTTCCGACTTTCCGTCCATGTCCTCGAGTGTCCCCGCCAGTTCGTTGTCAGTTACTGCTTCTTCTTCTTCTTTATTATCGTCGATTTGTTTTTGGTAATTGAAAATCTGATGTTGCTCATCTTCCACAACTTCTGTTAAGATGTAAAGCCAAAGATTAAGGGCATTTACATACATTCCGCCATTTTAGCTTTTAAAAAGTGAAATAATGATGAATATGTAAGGCAGCATGTATGTAAAAATTGAAGTAATATTGTTAAATATGTGAATACATTGGAATTGAGTGGTATGCATGTAAATCTTCCAATAATAAAAAGATCAGAGACCACATGAAGTCAAATAACCAGTAGAGCTCAGCCTCCACAAACCTTCCACAACTTCATCATACGATTCGACCTCGGAAGCGAGAAAGTTGGGCTGCTGAATCGCATTCAAATTCTGCTGTTTGATATCGCTTTCCAGGCTCAGCTTTTCTTCTTCCATTACATCAGAAGGAAGAACCAGCTCCTGAACAGTTGTGTGAGAGCCTTTGTTATAGAGGAGTTCCCACTCATCAATATTCATCTCTATAAAAGCCTTTACTACTAGAGAAGACTTAGTTTGAATGAGCAAAGGAGGTTGGAAGCATTTTATATCTACATTGGATACAAGAGAATGGAGGAAAAGAATTATTGGAGAAAAAAGTTTCAGATTATTGCATTGAGCTCTAAAAAAGTGACAAGCTTTGGCTTTAATGCCTTTAATCAAATGGCTTTTTGCTGAAATCTGAAAACTTTTATGAATATAATGTAGAAATAGAATCATCGTAAGGGTGGGACAAAGGAAATTATTTGGACAGAGTGCATGATTTGTTAATTATATGGGGCATTTACATGCATACCACACAATTCCTATATATTTACATATCTAAAGTTTAAAACTTTACTTTTTACATTTATACCACTCAACTGTTTCATATCACACCTTTACATGCATGGGAAAGGTGGCATATATGTAAAAATTGATTCAGGTACATAGGAATTGAGTGGTACGTATGTAAATCTTCTTAATTATATATGAGCAAGGAAAGTACAGAGATAAGAAGTAAAACAACTTCAGCATTATTTAGTATAATCTAGAATGCATTAAGCAATGAAATTCTCTATAAAAAGTAGAACAACTTAATTTCTAACTTGCCATGATTCAATACCACTTCAAGGAATACATTTATTCAATCATTATGCTTAACAACAATAAGAGCTTGAAAATTTGCAGAAACAAAGACGCCTACTTGGTTAGCAGAGCTTGCATTTTCTTCTTGAGTATGATGTAAAATAAATTAAAAAATTCAATTACCACTCCAATAATATTTTAAAAAATGTTAACGTCATGTAATTGACCAAAATATGATAAAGTAGGCACAGGCATCCAAGAAAGTAAATACCAAATATCATTAGAATAAAACTTCATGGACTCCTAGAAAGCAACAAATGCTTTAATACATTAAAACCAAAAAATCATCTCATTTCATACCTAAAAAAAACACTATTATATCATAGTGTATGCTAAAAAATGGTCTGCACGGATCTAAAGGCAAATCAAGTAGTCCAGGATAAAAGAGACTGAAATGTCATTTACTCTCCTCTCTGAAGCAGGACTAAATATGTAACCTTTGATATTTTCTACCCCTCCTATCTTCTATAAATAGGAGAGCTTTTTGGGCTAACCCCATTTGTAACTTCATTTTCAATAAATAAAATAGAGACAGGGAGCCCTGGGAACACCATATTTCCGCCTGAAGAAAATTGAGAGGGGAGATAAACAGCATTCCTCCTGAAACTTCTCGAATACAGCATTTGTGTAGATATCCGCTGCTTGTCTTTCGATTGGTGATGGTGTCTTCAAAGGAGGCTTAACGTATATGGTAGCGAGGTCTTCCTGGGCTTCCTTCTCGTACTGAGATGACATAGCTTTATCAAATTTTGAGATAAACAGCAGCAAAAAGTTTTTAGTATTGAAGTTTCGCTTGAAGAGTTTATTCAAGCTTTCTGGCCTTTGTAATGTGGACAATTCTGGAAAGAGCAAGTCCTTCTGGTACACTGAGGCCCAAAGAGGACGAATTTCATAAAGAGATTGCAGCCACGCATTATCCCACAGGTTATATTTATCGAGGATGTACTCCCAATGAGTTTCGAACTTCTTGATTGTTTCCGATGCATTGATGCACTCCTTCAATTTGGTTCTTAACGTAGGATATTTTATATATGAATCACCAAGTATATGTTTGCATCTGCTTAATATGTGCCATTTGGCGAGTTTTTGGAAATACCATTGAGATAGCTCCTTCCATGGCCTTATCCCTGTCGGTAAATAAGAAAACGGGATCACGAGCACCAATGCTGGAAAGCCAAGTTTCAAAAAGCCAAACATAAGAACCCTTAGTTTCATCCATTAGCAAGGCACAGCCAAATGTTACAAACTCCAAATGATGATTTATTCCTCTGAAGGTAGCGAAAGGCATCATGTATTTTGTTTTTTTGTAAGTAGTATCAAAAGTCAAAGCATCACCAAAGTATTGGTATGACATCCTGGATTTGGCATCAGCCCAGAAAACATTGGTTACGCCATTATTATTATCCACTTGGATGGCATAGAAAAATGCAGGATTCTCAGCTTGCATCCTCTTCAAATACTCCAGAGGACCCTGAGCCTCTCCTCCTTCCCCGAAAGGATTGATCCTAATCCCCCTGTTGAAGTTCTTCAAATTATTGAACCCGTTCGGCTCACTAGAATTTAGAGCTGAGTTTGGTGAGATCATAGATCTATCAGCACGTGGCCGGACTTTATCAGGCAAAGCAACCATATGAGTATGCTCGGTCTCCAGCTTAGTGACCAACCACTTACCGTGATCTTTACGGATGACCTCGATCATGGCCATGCACCCTTCCCTTGTGGTTCCCCGCTTTCTCTTCTTCTTTCCATCATCGTAGATTACCCACTTAGAATGGAACCCTTCCCGTCGCATGATTACCGTGTCGTCTTTTCTTGAAAGTCGTGATTTATTCATTCGAACACCAAATCCCCACGCGAATTGCATAAGCTATGCTAGTACTCCTTAGCCGCCACGTCACTGTCAAACTCCATTCCTATGGCCGGCTCCCTAATGTCATTACCATCAATGAGGATTAGCGGTGCAGGGATTGAGGCGTTTAATTCATCTCGTAAAGCATCAAGAGTCAAAGCCATTGGAGGATCTGTAGAGTTATCATTAAGAGTCATGGCGCTGCCCCTTAGCATGCTAAAATCATCAGTCAAGGTCACTTCCATCATTCAAATCCAGACCTGAAAGAACCAATTATTTGATGATTAGCATGTATAATTAGCTGTTCATGAAGGTAAGAGTTACGGGAACCACAGGATCTTTTCCTTTGCTCCTCAATTAATATAATTTGAAATAAAATGAATAGCAAATATTTTACATTAAAAAAAAGAGATAAAAAAGTTCTTGGGATTGAAATCACCAATTTGAAATTTTTTGAATCAACAAAGCAAAAGTTGAAAGATGATCTGTTTTCTCCAGCATGGCGTTTCTTTTTTTTGAATCCGGATTTGTTTTGTGAGGTATGCCCACGGATCGGAGTGGTAGAAACCCTGAGGGAGAAGTGGAGAGAAAAAAATCAAAGAACACACACAGACTTGCCCTATAGAGGCAAACTGGGTTATTCCAAGACTCTGTGATTATATATTGTAACCGAGGTTAAAAGAGAGAATATAGGATATATCTACCTAAATAGTAGGACTAGAGCAAAGAGCCTAAAGAATCCAAACCCTAGAGAGACGAGCTCCTAGTACATGTTATAACCCCCCTATTTATAGAAGGTAAAAATACAAAATATAAAATTACATATTTGCCCCAACTTTAATAAGTGTGTTGCAGGAAATTCTTGTCTTTTGTCGAGTCTTTTCAAATGTTTTGGGTCTTCTGGTCGGCAGGTCTTTGGGTCGGTCGTCCAAGTGGTGTTGGTTGGCTATTTTGTCTGGATGAAAGTCACCCTTCGCTCTGGGAAGTCGATCAACTTTGAGAGAGATAGTCGGACGGCTATAGGGTCGCCGGTCGACATGCTTGTCCTTGGTGATCTTTGAAGGTTTTTTGGAGAGTTGTTGAAAAAGTCACATTGATACTTGTGAGATTGTTGGGTGAACTAGACCGTTCTTCGGTCGTTGTCGTAAATGTTTCTCCATGGTAGACTTGGGTGGCCCTTTAGTCGTTGGACTGGCCTTCAGTCGATCGGCAGTCCTTTAGTCAGTCGCCAACATTTCAATTGGTTGGCCATCAGATGGCTAGCGGTCTTCAACCGGTTGACTTCATGAGGACTTTTAGCTTATTATCAGAGGAATGATCCTCAATTTATCTTTATTATGGACTTCATGCAAAACATTTTTGGATGTACAATTTTAGAGTTCATAATTGACAAATTAATAGTTGTGATCAGAATTGTAAAATTATTTATAAACATTTATATATGAAAACCTAGGTACTCATTTGAAATTTTAGCCCGATTATTAGCTTGTTTAAATATCCGTTCACTTATCCTAAACAAATCAAGTACAAATCAAGTTCAAATATTGACAAATTTAAACAAATCAAGCTTGAAGAATGTACGAAAGCTTGACACAAGCTCAAACCGAATATGAACAAGTTATAATTATACTAAGCTAAGTCCAAACTACGATATACTCGGCTCGATTACACCTCTAATCTCAAGTCTAGTTTGGTAGGCTCCAATAAACTCTGACCTTTTCAACGCATAAGCTAGCAGCACTCCACCCAAGAGGATCACCTTCCCAATGAATCCTCTCTTGTGTTCTATTCTTTGGTGCAATATGGGTGTTGCATCTCGAGGAGATTTTCTCTCAACAACTTTTTTTATGAGTCACTTATTAGAATCATTTCTCCCTAAGGAGGCTACTCCAATTGGAAATTTTCCCAAGTAATCATTCTACTCCCGACATACTTGATTCTTTCGTTAGAAGGATGTGCCCCAAACCACCAACAAAGGGAAGTTGACCAGATTCTCTATGCCTTTTTGGTCAAGTCACTAACATGCTTCAATTACAAAAGCCCATCTAGTGGCTTTATTCTATACACCAGGATGAATTATTAGAATTTTTTCTAAACTAGGAAAGGCAGAGAAGTCGAGTGATGCATAGTAATTTGACCCACTTGTATTCTATCTCCACTCCATACCAGGAATAACCATTCGCAAAATGTTGTGCTACCAGAAGTACAGCCTAGAATAAAATGCCGAGCATGATAAAAAGTCAAACAACATTACTTCTTCCTTGACATGGTTCAATACCACTTCAAGGAATACATTTATTCAATCATTATACTTAACAACAATACAACAATAACAGCTTGCAAATTTGCAATTCTTGCACAAACAAAAATGTCTGCTTGGCTAGCAGAACTTGCATTTTCTTATTGAGTATGACATAAAAATAAAATAAAAAATTCAATTAGTGCTCCAATAATATTTTAAAAAAATCTAAACGTCAAGCAATTGACCAAAACATGATAAAGTAGGCACAGGTATCCAAAAAATTAAATACCAAATATCATTAGAATGAAACTTCATGGACTCGTAGAAGGCCAAAAAATGCTTTAAGATACATTATAACTAACAAATTTTCTCATTCATGCCTAAAAAAAACATTGTTATAATATACTGTATACTAAAAAATTGTCTGCACAACTCTCAGGGCAAAACTCATAGTCAAGGAAAAGGGACTGAAATGTCATTTACTCTCCTCTCTAAAGCTAGACAAAATATGCAATTTTTTATATTTTCTACACCTCCAATCTTCTATGAATAGGAGACTTTATGATGTATAGGGGAACCTTTTGGGCTTCCCCCATTTGTAACTTCGTCTTTCAATGAATTAAATAGGTTGGAGAGCCCCGGGAACACCCCATTTCACCCAAACCGGGGGAAAACTCCCTCTTCTCCTCTCTTTCACTCCCCTCTCAATTTTCTTCTCTCGGTCCAAAGCTCTATTTCTTGGGCACGATCTACCAGACAAATTTGGATTCAACGCATACAAATCTGAATTTCAGGAAAATAGTACTGATATTTAAATCAGAACTCCTGCTCTCTTCTGCAATATATTGTTTAACATCAACAAAATGATTGTTAGACAAAAACATAAATATATTTAAAAAAATCATTCATACAATGCATTGTCTTTTGCATTTCTTCCGCTTCCATCTTCTTCGTTGTGTTGAGTAACCCTTGGGGCAAAGGCCTTCTTCGGTTGTAGCTTCGGCAACGGAACCTTATATTGCATCTTCTGTAACCTCGCAAATCTCTGCAGATTCTGCTGCCCTTTCTTCTGAGTGTTCTTAGCAGCAATAACTTCATTAAAAGACTTCTGCAGTGCTAATTTAGCAACCTTATATGTCTCCGAGGATACAGCCCCTTCCATTCCAAATTTAATAGCATCAAGACAAAGATCATTGTACCAAGCTACTAAATACTCCTGGAAACTAAGCCCAGGTTCTGTAACTCTTTCTTCAAGAACTATATTTTTCAGGGCATTCCTTGTCCATCTCTTCAGAACATAGGCCTCAGGGAGAACACGCACTCCAACGACGAAAAAAACTCGTAAAATATGCCTGCATAGAATGCCGCAACGCTCAAACTTGCAGCAATTACAACTCGTCATTTTATCATAATCACTGAAACTAACGATGTAGCTCTTACGATTATCATCTTCCTTCATCACATTATACTTGCTAACAGAGCCGTGCTCGATTTTCTCGACGTAATACCCTAATGATTCGACGAATTCCTCCTGAAACTTCTCGAATACAGCATTTGTGTAGATATCCGCTGCCTGTCTTTCGATTGGTGATGGTGTCTTCAAAGGAGGCTTAACGTATATGGTAGCGAGGTCTTCCTGGGCTTCCTTCTCGTACTGAGATGACATAGCTTGATCAAATTTTGAGATAAACAGCAGTAAAGAGGTTTTAGTATTGAAGTTTCGCTTGAAGAATTTATTCAAACTTTCTGGTCTTTGCGATGATGACAATTCAGGAAAGAGCAAGTCCTTCTGGTACACTGAAGCCCAACGATGACGAATTTCATAAAGCGATTGCAGCCATGCATTATCCCACAGGTTATATTTATCGAGGATGTACTCCCAACGAGTTTCAAACTCCTCGATTGTTTCTGAGGCATTGATGCACTCCTTTAACTCGGTTCTTAACATAGGATATTTTATATATGAATCACAAAGTTTATGTTTGCATCTGCTTAATATGTGCCATTTGCAGAAACAATGGCGAGTTTTCGGAAATATCCTTGAGATAGCTCCTTCCATGGCCTTATCCCTGTCAGTAAATATGGAAACGGGATGACGACCACCCATGGCAGCAAGCCAAGTTTCAAAAAGCCAAACATAAGAACCCTTAGTTTCATCCATTAGCAAGGCACAGCCAAATGTTACAAACTGCAAATGATGATTTATTCCTCTGAAGGTAGCGAAAGGCATCATGTATTTTGTTTTTTTGTAAGTAGTATCAAAAGTCAAAGCATCACCAAAGTATTGGTATGACATCCTGGATTTGGCATCAGCCCAGAAAACATTGGTTACGCCATTATTATTATCCACTTGGATGGCATAGAAAAATGCAGGATTCTCAGCTTGCATCCTCTTCAAATACTCCAGAAGACCCTGAGCCTCACCTCCTTCCCCAAAAGGATTGATCCTAATCCCCCTGTTGAAGTTCTTCAAATTATTGAACCCGTTCGGCTCACTAGAATTTAGAGCTGAGTTTGGTGAGATCATAGATCTATCAGCACGTGGCCGGACTTTATCAGGCAAAGCAACCATATGAGTATGCTCGGTCTCCAGCTTAGTGACCAACCACTTACCGTGATCTTTACGGATGACCTCGATCATGGCCATGCACCCTTCCCTTGTGGTTCCCCGCTTTCTCTTCTTCTTTCCATCATCGTAGATTACCCACTTAGAATGGAACCCTTCCCGGGTGCCCGCCGCATGATTACGGTGTCATCTTTTCTTGAACGTCGTGATTTATTCATTCGAACACCAAATCCCACGTGATTTGCATAAGCTATGTAGTACTCCTTAGCCGCCACATCACTGTCAAACTCCATTCCTATGGCTGGCTCCCCAATGTCACTACCGTCAATGAGGATTAGCGGTGCAGGGATTGAGGCATTTAATTCATCTCCTAAAGCATCAAGAGTCAAAGCCAATGGAGGATCTGTAGTGTTATCATTAAGATCCATGGCACTGTCCCTTAGCAAGCTAAAATCATCAGTCAAGGTCACTTCCATCATTCAAATCCGACCTGAAAAAACCAATTATATGATGATTAGCATGTATAATTAGCTGTTCGTGAAGGTAAGAGTTTCGGGAACTGCAGGGTCTTTTCTTTTGCTCGTCAATTAATATCGTTTGAAGTAAATTGAATGGCAAAAAGGAGATAAAAAAGTTATTGGGATTGATATCACCAATTTGAATTTTTTTTAATCAACAAGGAAAAACTTAAAAGATGATCTGTTTTTTCCAACATGGCGTTTCTTTTCTAAACCTGTATTCTACTGTAACTTCTTTTTCATATTAATGAGGGGTTCTTCCAAAGTTTTCAATCAAAAACTGAATGAATGCATTTAAAAAAAAAATAAAGGAAAAGAAAGCACCTAACAGCCAGTCAATCAGCCATGACATGCATTGGAAAGCATGACACAACTTGTCCGTTTAGCCCAAAGCAATACTGAGACATCTAAAACTCACTCTTTAATGGAGCTCTTTTTATCAAGTCCAGCAACTAAACAAAGAACGAAATGCATGTAAAAGGGAATACCACAGAACATATGAAAAAAAAATAATAATAATTTATACATCGTGGCCTTAAACTGCAAAGAAAAGTAAGATTTCAATATTCAAGTACAAAATCAGTAGTCCTAGTAAATCAACAGCATTCAAAACGCAAAAGCACGGGATTTCATAATAACCTAACCAGAGCATTTTTATTCAAAACTCGGGACAGAATTTGCCTCTCAGATTTGAAAAAAGAGAAACTTGAGACCCATGAGAAAATGCAGTTTGAACAAAGACACGCAAACACACACACAAACACAGAGAGAGAGAGAGAGAGACAGACAGCTGACAGACAGCTAGACCAAGCCAGTGGATGGGTTGAAATAGAGGAAGAGGTGCGGTATGCTATGTAAGAAGCCTCAGTGAAAGATAGCATGATTGTTGACCACTCTTGTGGCAGAAGAAATTCTCTTGATCCAAGCTAAAATTTGATCATCTTGCTCCGTAATTTTAGGTCAAAAAGATTCCATCAGTGAGATCTTTCCTATTCCCCTCTTAAAAACCTAATCCCTGAAAAGACCATCAAAGATAAAGCCCCTCCCAAGTAGGGTTGTAAATGAACTAATGCACTCCATGAACAACTCGAACTTAACTCGATTAAGACTCGATCATGTTCGTTCAAACTAGTAAATAAACAAACTTGAACAATTCTTAAAAACTTGAAGCTTAATTAAGTGCAGATGAACATGAATATAGTCAAACTTATTCATTTATGTTCACGACAAATTTGTTTGTCGTTTGACAAGTAACTTATTAAATACTCGATATTAAACTCGATGATATCTTGTATCATATATGAAATATTATTTAAATAAAATTTAATTGGCTAAATTTTATTTAATTATCTATTTAAGTGATATATTATTATCCCAATAATATTTTTAGTTTAATTATCAATTATATATTTAAGTTGTAATTGATTAAAAAAACAATAAATGAAGAGTGATTTAAAATGAGATATTTTACAGTTAAAGATAGTGTCATAAAAGATTTTTCTTATAGAGTTCTTATAATCTTGAATGTAATGAGTTCATTTTATATGGCCATCAAACCGCAAGTAATAAAAATATTAATATTGGTTCGTCTTCTTATTCTTTTATTAATAATATGATTTAAGTGAATGATCATCTCTATAACTTTTAGGACCAATTTAGTTCTTCCACTTACAAAATTTGAACTAGCGTATTCCTATCAATAAAAGACATTTAGCTAATTAATAAAGTTTAAATTTTTTTCTCGAATGCAGATTTATCCTGTGAGCCATTCCCACATATCGGAGCAATAGAAACCTTGAGGAAGAAGTAGAGATAGGAAAAATGTAAGAATACACAGACTTGCCCTATAGGGGTAAACTGGGTTATTCTCAGGCTTTGTGACCCATTTTTATATATTGTAACCTGGGGTTTCAAGAAAGAAGTGGAAAGATCTCCCTAAATAGTAGGAGTAGAGAGAAGGCCTAAAGAAGCCAAAGCCTGGAGAGACAAAAGCTCCTCGTAAATGTTATGACTCTCCTATTTATAAAATATAGAGGAATAAAGTGTAAAATTATATATTTAATAGGTGTGTTAACTGGGAATTATTATCTTTTGTCATGCCTTTTCAAATGTTATAGACCTTTTGATCGGCAGGTCTTAGGGTCGGCTGTCCAAGTGGTATCGGTTGGGTAATTTGTTTGGATGCTAGTCAGTTTCGTTGTGGGAAGTCGATCGACTTTGAGAGTAATAGTCAGACGGCCATAGGGTCACCAGTCGACATGCTTATTCCTTGGTGATCATTGGATATTTTTGGGGGAGTTGTTGAAAAAGTCTCGCATTAATACTTGTGAGATTGTTGGGGTACTACACATTTGTCTGATCGTTGTCGTGAATGTTTGATCATAGTAGACCTGGGTGGCCCTTTAGTCGTTGTACCGGCCTTCAGTCGATCGGCAGTCCTTTGGTTAGTCGCCAGCCCTTCGGTTAGTTGGCCATCAGTCAGCTAGCCATCGGACAACTAGTGGGTTTCAGTCTGTCGGCTCCATGAGCACGTTTAGCTTTTTGTCATATGAATGATCTTCAATTTATCTCTTTTAATATGGACTTCATACAAACCATTTTTGGGTGTAAAATTTTACAGTTCATAATTGATAAATTAGTATTTGAGATCAGAATTGCAAAATTATTTATAAACATTTTTATATGAAAATATTGGTACTCATTTGAATTTTTAACTCGGTTATTAGCTCGTTTAAATGTCTGTTCACTTGTCATAAACAAACCAAGTACAAATCAAGTAAAAAAATTAACAAACTTAAACAAACCAAACTATAACATTGTATGAAAGCTTTACACAAGCTTAAGTCGAATATGAACAAGTTATAATTATACCAAGCTAAGTCCACACTATGATATACTCGGCTCGATTACAGGTGTAGTCTACTTGGTAGGCTCCATCAAACTCTGACCTTTCAACGCATAAGCTAGCAACACTCCACCCAAGAAGATCACCTTTCCAGTGAATCCTCTCTTGTGTTTTATCCCTTGGTGTGGGTGTTGCATCTTAAGGAGATTTTCTCTCAACAACTTTTTTTAATGAGTACTTCTTAGAATCATTTCTCCCTAAGGAGGCTACTCCAAATGGCAATTTTCCCACGTAATCATTCTATTCCGGGCATACATGATTCTTTTCTTAGAAGGATGTGCCTTTAACCACAACCAAAGGGAAATTGACCAGATTCTCTCTGCCTTTTTGGTCAGGTCACTAACATACTTCAGTTAAAAAACCGCATCTAGTGGCTTTATTCTATACATCTAGACGAATCATTAGGCATTTTTCTAAACAAGGAAAGACAAAGTAGCCGAGTGATGCGTAGTAATTTGGCCCACTTTTATTCAATCTCCATTCCATACCAAGGTTAACCCTTTGCAAAATGTTGTGCTACCATAAGTACAACCTAGAATTAAATGTCGGGCATGATAAATTTAACATGCTCACCTGGCCACTCCTCGCCAATCCCAAGGCATAAGATGGCTATATAAAAACTCTCCTACTATTGGAGATAGAAAAAAAAGGAGGCAAATCCATTGATGTAGGTGATGGAGACAAGCAAAAAAGGCACAAACAATGCGGATATGGAAAGATGGTATGGGGTCATAAGGCTTCTAATTCTTCAACATCTTCACATTCCCACAAAAGGTAATTGGTTGTCATCTTTTGCAATCTAAGAAACATAATCCCCAACCAACCTTAGTCCTTCATTGAAGTCTCCAAGTAGTTGCCCTTACGTTACTCACTATCATTCAGCAAGGAGAATGGCCAGTCATTCCCTTTAAACTCCTCATGGATTAACTCTCCATTTAGCAGTCATTCATTTACTCACTGTGTTTGGGCGAGACAACTATTGAAATAGCTCCTAGGTTTCCTGTGCAAGAAATCATGGACTACCCTTGCTAGAAGGAGATGTTCTGGCACTCAACTAAAGAAGAGTGCAAGCACTTAACGAGTATAGTGTAACAATCAGCAGTGGTCAATAAATCTTATGTCTACCATCATGTTAGTATTGCAACCTCTCAAGAAGGCATGTTGCTAGTACTAGTTGAAGTTGCTAACCCGAAGAGTGAGGCATTGTGGCTCCATAAGCGTAAGTATTCTAGATGACTCGTCGCCAGACGCCTTGATAAGTTGATCAGTTAGAGCCTCCCCAAATTTGTTAAAACGTATAATGTGTATATTGGGCTAGTGAACAATCTATTGTTCAAAGGCCCCATACAAATTTTACTAGAACATCTTCAAGCCATACTTATGGAATCTTACTTAAGCAATCTTAAGCTTTTGGCTTTTTCGTATTGAATTACTAAGAAGTTAATGTACAAATCATTAATGTTTCATTTGAATGCTTGGTGTGGATATTCATGTCTCATTAAACCTATGTAAAGGCTCCATTTTTCAACATAGATACAACAATTTGTGTATGAAAACCCAAACTTTTTGACTTTCCCTTGATCTTTTGGGAGACTCCTGTGAGGTGTACTTGGTAAACTTCTTGAGTGCTAAATGTGAGGCTAAGACGGTAAGTTATTTGACATTTGTTTCCCCAGCTCTTTCACCCTGGAACACAACTTCACTTTGTT